TCTCGTTTAACCACATATAATATTTTCTTCTGAACATTTTAAATACGATTGATGCTAAATTTGACGTTGCCGCTTTTTGTGCAAGCCAGCGTCAACTATGATCACGTGACTTACTTTGACGCTAAAAATGAGCATCAAGCGTCAGCATGAAAAGGCACCTTTATACTAGCACAAAACAAAATATGTGCGCTTTGACGTACAATTCCGGTCTCTCTTCAAATAATCGCAAATCTATCTAGAAAATAATATATAAATATATATTAGATAATTATATTATATAAAATGTTCCTATCTTAAAATTGCCGTGTTACCTGCATTGAAGCCTCTTTTCCCCAATGTTTAAAAATTCATATCTTTTAGAAAAATTAAGATATCGACTTCTTTCTAGGCTTATCTTAAAAATGAATAATGTGGCTATTTTTAAAAAAATCGTGATTTTATTTAAAAATGACCGATCATAAACGTCATTTTTTTTTGAAAAATTTTTTTTTTTAAACTTGTTAAAATTTGTTTAATTAAAATGTAAATTGGTATAAATGTCATTGAAATATGTATGGGGTCTAATACGCAGCGCGCGCGAAGCGCGCGCCTGTTATGTACTAGTGTAATATATATTATGTATATAATATATATATATATATATATATAATATATAAATATACATAATAAAATATATATAACGTACATATATATAATTAATGTAAAGTAAATGTACAAATGTAAATAACTAAATATATACATTGCTTAAAAGCTTAAGGTAATTTCGCCATTGCAGATTTTAAGCAATGATGAGAAAGAATGCTTAAATAACATGAAAACATATTTTGATGAAAATAAAGAGAAATTCATGGATATATGGCTCGACAAAATGATAAAAATTAACCACTGCAGTTTTTTTCTGTATAAAAATATATTCCAAAATTATATTTCTTCGATGCTACAATTATTTTAACTATGATTTTCGGATTCAGCAAGTAAAATTGAGTAAAAAAAGATGAATCCAATCATTTCTGAGTGCTTCCTAAATCGCCTAAAATGTGTAAACTCCTTTAACTGTTACAATCCGCGAAAACATATTATGCAAAATCCCGGAAATAAGCAATTTTGATACAAATTGAAAGTCAGTAGCGGAAAGCGTTTATTTCAAAAATTATATATGCATTAACAAAAAGCGTTTTATTTTGAAAGTTATATATTTGCAAATACAACTAATTATTCGAAGTCGCTCGAACGAAACAGGGAGATAGAATGTTCATTGTAGCTTTAGCAGCGAATTTTAATCGGACAGTTCATATAATTAATGATTAGTTGCTCTTATCTATTTATTTATAGTTTACTCTTATCTATTTTCTTGACAAATTATCTTTATTTTCAGTCGTTCAGTCATAGGTCATGAAGAGATATATAGCGCGTCGAATTCTCGTTCAAAATCACGAAGACACATGTTGTACCTCTCGGTGCAACAAGGAATAATTTTGGGGATCGGTCCGCCTGAAGGGTAGGAACCCACGAGGATACGCGGGGTAGGAGCTGGGACACAGTCACTTGACACTGTTCTACGGTTAATTAACTTTATTTCCCCTTTTTGGGTACAAATAGTTCCCCGATAATATTATAACTATGTTCCCGTTTCAGCACTAAGGTCGAGACTACGTATATGTTCACGTTCGCGTCGCGGCTGTCTTGCCGGCAA